GTGTCAACCAAGACAGCCCCACAACATCCAGAGACTTAAGGTACTTGGGACGGATCTCATCCACCCCCGGTGCCTTGCCATCGAGAAGCTTCTTGACTGCCTCAGTGACTTCAGCTTGGGTGATGGACGAGTCCACCTCCGAGCCCTCAGCCTCTGCTTCCTCATCGGAAGACATGGCGCCGGGATTGAGGAGATCCTCGAAGTATTCCTTCCACCGCCCGACAATATCCCCAGTTGAGGTCAACAGCTGCCCACCTCCACTGTAAACAGTTTTGGCAGGGCACTCCTCCCCCCTCCTGAGGCACCGGACAGTTTGCCAGAATCTCTTCGAGGCCAACCGATAGTCCTTCTCCATTGCCTCACCAAACTCTTCCCAGACCCGAGTTTTTGCCTCTGCAACCGCCTGGGCTGCAGCCCGCTTGGCCTGCCGGTACCTGTCAGCTGTCTCAGGAGTCCCACGAGCCAACCAGGCTCGAAAGGACTACTGTACAGGTTATAAACTCACTTATTTCTCTTGGCTAGTGTAAAAATGACTAAAACGTGGCAAATGTATATTTTTAGGCCTGTGTTTTGAAAACAGTTGAGCAGGAATAATAAAACTAAATGCTATCCCATTCAGCTACAGTACTGTAATGATCAGTTTGAGCACAGACAGGACAGGAACGAAGTCTGTTCATTGACCCAGTTTGCACTGTTTGTGCATAAAGACATCAGCCTGGTCATCTTAATAGGACAGCAGCTTTCCAATTACAGTTTATGCAGAGTCAGCTTTGTACAGCTGAACCATGGAAATAGATGTTAGAGAGTATATTTCAGGACCGGGTGGAAATTTGAAGTTTGGTGAGACACTGCTTATCTGTGATAACTTTGGTTTTACTCTCAGTGGTTTACCAGGAGCTACGGCTGTTTCTTTTCATTGCTGTCAAAAGAGCCAGTTACACATCTGGATGTCTCCTGTCAGCCTCAGATCTACTCTAGCTGTTTCTTGGTGTAATGACTGCTCAGAACCTGGGTGAACTGGCAGGAAAGCTGAAAGTACAATCTCTCTGCATGGTGGAAAGATGCTGCTGTGTTTAAAAAGAGAAAAGCTTTGCTCAGGGCCTGGTCCCCTGGACAGATGACAGCAGTTGACCTGGACCTTCTCCCACACCCAAACTAACAGGAACAGGGTATTTATATTGCTGACACTGGAATACTTGCAGTATGTTATTATAAGTCATCATGGGTGGATTGTGTGAGATTCCCACAGAACCCCACTGTCTCTGACACATTCTTTGTACACAAAGGGAAACTCTTTCATTGTTTCTTTTAATATATTGTTCCCTGTATTAAAGTTGTCTTTTCTTATGGGAAAAGAAAGCATGGATCATGTGCACATGCAATTAACTCTTTGACTGTAAAAGGTGATGGCTGTGTGTAGCTTTTGGAGCTCCTTTTTGAAATATAACCCGTGCTGTGTTTTGCACTGATTGAAACAAGATTAACCAATTGTATTGTAATTATGTATATTAATGTAAGCAACATTTTTTTAAAGACTCAAAAATCTCCCTCTCCCTCTCTCTCTCTCAATTTTCCTCAGGTATGACGATACCAGAAGAAGACACAGAGGCAGGTCAGACGGGAAAATACTGCCTAGTGGCCATTGGAAGACTGCAGGTGTGTGTGGTGGCACAGTCACTTGAACCATTTTGATTTCGTTGAAAAACTGAGGAACTGTGTGTGTGTGTGTGTGTGTGTGTGTGTGTGCGCGCACTGTTAACTATTATCAGTATTGGTATAAGAGATGGAGAGCATTCATTTATAAACAGATGCTCGTTCAGTCAGTGTGTGTGGTCATTGTTTTATATGAATATATGCAACAAGCAGTCATGTAATAAGTACTATCCATCCATTATCTATACGGCTAACCCTGTAGAGCCTGGTTTCTTGAATTTTTTCATCTCAAGACCCAAAAGAGATTTGGTTTCTACCCGGAACCCCGATGCCTAATGTCTGTGCCAGATGTTGAAAACGTCTACTGAGTAACCAGAATGAAAGTTTTTACAAAATCTTTTTTGGATGTCCTCTGTATGTTCAATTTGGACATCAATCGGCCGTCTTCATGACTCGAAATGACATCATTTTTGGACATCCATTAGACATCTTCATCTTCACAACATCATCTTTAACATCTTCACCACACTTCTATAGCACTGTACCATGTGTTACAGAAGTTTGGTGGAAGAGCCTTTTGCCTTATTAGCTGTGAGGTACAAAACGTGATGCATTAGTAACTGATAAGCACCTAAACTCCATTCACTTAGGGTTTTGTAACCCCCCACTCCTCCCAGAATTTATAAAAACGCATGAACGCAGCAAACACCAGTGACTGGGGCAGGAATAATGTCACAACAACAACATACATTTGCAGCATAGCTAGAAAGTTAACTAACTCTCTGTGGAAAAGTAATTTAGGAAATCAGCTAATGTGACACTGTATTCCCAGCAAATACTGTCCTGACTGCAAAGTGAAGACTTAGCTTGGACGTCCACTGACGTCCAGCACAGGTTCAGTATCTGGACGTCTTTTGTGGCCCTACACTGGATGTCAGTACACATCCAACACAGACATAAGTTTTGGATGTCTACTGATCTCCAGTGTAGGTCTCCACAAGACATGCGGATACTAAACCTATGCTGGACGTTGGGGAACGTCCAGCATTGAGTCCTATTGAGACGTGACACTTAACTAACTGAACATCTGAAGACATCCAAAACAGGCTCATCTCAGGTCTTAGTGTTCTGAGTTATTGTTGGATGTCTGATGACCTCCAAAATATGTCCTGAATAGACATCCAGGTATTTACCAATCATGTCTTGTCTAGATGTACAGATACATAGTTTGGACATCTTGTACAGACATCCAAATCTGTAACGCACATTCATGGATGTCACAAAATGGCCCTAGTAGGACATTCTGATCTGACATTCTGCCTTGTATTGTACATCAACAGCTGTCCAAAATAAGTCTGGACCAGACATTTAAATATCCAACCTAAGGTGTATGTCCACAGATTTAGAAAGGTGGTCTTTGCCAGATGTCAAAATACCAAACTTGTGTTAGACATCCGACAAGTCATATCTAGACACTGGATTTTGAACGTCTATCTCACATCTCACAAATTTACAAAAATGACATGGACCAACCAACATGATACAGAAGGCGCATGCACATGTCTCCAGTTTGTTCAACATTAGAGCATTAATAAAGTGCAAAACAGGTCCTTTCAGCATAAAAACCACAACAGTTTTATTATTTAAAATAATTTAGGTTGTATGTTCATAAAACAAAATCTAGACACAGGGGTTGCAAGCCAGTGATGTCTGTGCCGGTCCCAAGCCCAAATAAATAGAGAGGGTTGTGTCAGGAAGGGAAACATGCCAAATTTAAACATGCGAATCATCAGTGCGAATTCCATACCGGACCGGTTGAGGCCCAGGTTAATAACAACCGCCACCAGTGCTGTTGACCTACAGGGTGCTGGCGGAAATTGGACTACTGTTGGTTGAAGAAGGAGAGGAGGTAGAAGGATACGTAGACAGAGAGAGAAGAGGAAAGGCAGGAGTATAGGTCTGAGAATAGGGACTCTTAGCGTTGGCACAATGACAGGGAAAGGTAGAGAGCTGGCAGACATGATGGAGAGAAGGAAGGTAGATACTGTATACTGTGTGTGCAGGAGACCAGGTGAAAGGGTAGCAAAGCACATAGCATTGGAGGGGGATACAAACTGTTTTATTATGGTGTGGACAGGAAGAGAAATGGGGTAGGAGTGATCCTGAAGGAGGAGCTCGTGAGGAATGTTTTAGAGGTGAAAAGAGTGTTAGACAGGGTGATCAGTCTGAAGTTGGAAATTGAAGGGATAATGTTGAATGTAGTCAGTAGTTATGCTCCACAAGTAGGGTGTGAGTTAGAAAAGAAGGAGAGATTCTGGAGTGAGTTATGATTTGATTTATTTTTTTTTATTTGATTTGATTTATTTATTCTTTCAAGCATGTAAAGACAGTTGATATATCAACACACATAATTTTACACATATCCAACAAATGCTAATCCAATATCAATTTGCTTATACCTAGTACATGCTTGAATGGAGTAGGAAGAAGTCAGACTTATCCAGTCCTACCCCATGACATCATCTTACCATCATTGGTTTGCAAGCAGTATCTCTACATAAATAATTCTCTCACCACACAAGTAATATATTAAAGAATTATTACAGAGTGTTAACATTCATACACCACACCCACAATGTTCCATCTAATTAATCATTAAGCCTGTTCTTGCATATATCTTGATTGACACATACCTTTATATTTATGCTTAAACTCGTCAATTCTATTACTATTTTTTATGTCCGCACTTAAATTATTCCATAGTTTTACCCCACTTATGGAAATACAAAATCATTTTTTGGTTGTACGCATAACATGAATTTTTAAATTTAACTGACCCCTTAAATTGTATCCCCCTTCCCTTTCATTAAATAGTTTTTGAATTCCACCAGGTAATAAATTGTTCCTGGCTTTATACATAAACACTGAAGTCTTATATCCCACTAAATCAAAACATTTTAACAATTAAACTGTATGAAAGCTCCATTCGTGCGATCCCTGTACCCCATCTTATGCACAATTCTTATCGCTCTTTTTTTGTAATATATACAATGGTTGAAGTGAGCTTTTGTATGTATTTCCCCAGTTTTCAATGCCATACTCTAAATATGGTAAAATCAATGAGGTGATGGAGAGTAGTCCCAGAGGGGAGAGAGTGGTGATTGGGGCAGACTTCAACGGACATTTTGGTTAGGGAAACAAAGGTGATGAGGAGGTGATGGGCAGGTTTGGTGATAAGGGAAGGAACCTAGAGGGACAGATGGTGGTGGACTTGGCTAAGAGGATGGAAATGCCTGTAGTTAACACCTATTTCCAGAAGAGGGAGGAACATAGAGTTACATATAAGAGTGGAGGTAGGAGTACGCAGGTAGACTACATTCTATGTAGATGAGGCAATCTGAGAGAGATTAGTGACTGCAAAGTGGTGGTAGGAGAAAGTGTAGCCAGACAGCATTGGATGGTGGTGTGTAGGATGACTGGTGGTCAGGAAGAAGAGGAGAGGA